TTTTTTTTTTTTTATATGTACAAGATCAGTACTAAAAAAATTCAGGTAAAAATTAATACTTACCACTTGGAGTTAGCAAGTAGAGCTCAATCAAAGTTCTGTTCTCTGTAAAGTCTTAGACAGCAGATGTTCTACTAAAAATAGACCTGACTAGCAGAATACCCCTCCGCGCACCCTCTCACACTCTTGCGCACCCTCTCACACTCTTGCGCACCCTCTCACACTCTTGCGCACCCTCTCACACTCTTGCGCACCCTCTCACACTCTTGCGCACCCTCTCACACTCTTGCGCACCCTCTCACACTCTTGCGCACCCTCTCACACTCTCGCGCACCCTCTCGCCCACCCTCTCACACTCTCTCTTAACAAGTTCACTTTAGCCTCCACTTTTTCCTCCAATCCTAACCTCCCTGCATGGCACACATCATCGCTGCAACAGCTCTTTCTATTTAACAGGCATGACGTCCTTGCTCCTCTTCCCAGCTAAATAAAAGTCAGTCAGTGAACTGATCAGTCCGAAGGAAGGGTGGGCAGATTAATAATGGATGACGTTGCAGGATTTCTGGGACCTGTAAGCCTGTATGTGACCTGCTTAGTGAGCAGCAGGGCAAGGTAGCCAGAGCACCAAGTAAAAGGTCCTTCCCCTGTTCCTGTAAGGTAAACTATTTACTAGGATTTTAAAGAGCTAGAGTGACTATATGTCAACCAAAGTTTAAAATGTAGGTAAACCTTAAATAAATGACATTTTGTTTCCTAAAGCACTTTGTACCATAAATTGCCTTTTTTTTCACAGTGTACAGTACTGTGCATACGTTTAGGCAGGTGTGCTGTAATGCTGTAAAGTAAGAATGTTTTCAGAAATACGTGTTATAGTTTATTTTTATCAATGAACAAAATGGAAAGTAAATGAACAGAAGAGAAATCCAAATCGAATCAATATGTGGTGTGACTGCCCTTTGCCTTCTAGGTAGACTTGCACACAGTTTTTGAAGGAACTTGGCTGGTCGGTAGTTCCAGACATCTTGGAGAACTAACCACAGATCTTTTGTGGTTCAAATCATTCTGTCTCTTCATGTAATGGCTCTGTGGGGGCCAAACCATCACTTCCAGGACTCCTTGTTCTTTACGCTGCAGATGGTTCTTAATTACATTGGCTGTATGTTTGGGGTCATTGTCCTGCTGCAGAATACATTTGGGGCCAATCCCACATGCCCCCTGATGGTATGGCATGATGGATAAGTATCTGCTTGTATTTCTCAGCATTGAGGACACCATTGTTCCTGACCAAATCTCCAACTCCATTTGCAGAAACTGCAGAACTGCCTCCTGCTACAGCCATATATTTCAAATTTTGACTCATCAGCCCAGAGCACCTGCTGCCATTTCTGCACCTCAGTTCCTATGCTTTTGTGCATTTTCGAGTTGCTTTGCCTTCTTTCCACGTCGGAGGTTTGCCTTTTTGGGCGCAATTCTTCCATGAAGACCACTCTGGCCAGACTTCTCCTTACAGTAGGTGGGTGTACCTGGGTGCCACTGGTTTCCGCCTGTTCGGTGTGGATGGCACTGCTGGACATCTTCCGACGTCAAAGGGAAGTAAGCATGATGTGCCTTTCATCTGCTGCATTAGGTTTTCTTGGCCGACCATTGCGTCTATGGTCCTCAACATTGCCTGTTTCTTTTTGCACATCGCATCTTTAAACCCCAGTGTGCATTGAAATCTTTGCCTGGGAGAGACCTTGCTGATGCAGTATTAACTACCTTGTGTCTTGTTGCTGTGCTCAGTCTTGGTGATGTATGACCTGTGACATGAAACTGTCTTCCACAACCTCACCTCAGTAGCAGAGTTTGGCTGTTCCTCACCCAGTTTTAAGCCTCCTACACAGCTGTTTCTGTTTCAGTTAATGATTGTGTTTTTCAACCTACCTATGAAATTGATGACCATTAGCACATGCTTGGTATAATTGGTTAATCATACACCTGACTCTAATCCTTCAACATCCCTGACTTTGTGCAAATTGATGCTGGTTTGAAGCCAAAGAGTAGTCAGACCAAATATTGATTTGATTTAGATTTTTCTATTGTTCACTCACTCTTTGCATTTTGTAAATTGATAAACTTCAATAAAAAAAATATATTTTTTTAAAGCATTCTTACTTTGCAGATTTTTTTCTCACCTGCCTTTTAAACTTTTGCACAGTACTGTAATGTATATTTATTTTCACTGTTTTTTAATCCTTTGTTGCATCACATTGCTGCTTATCTCATGCAGCAACTTCCTACCTACATGCAAGCACCCCAGGGAGAGCTGTATGGCATTTCTCAGGGTGGTTTCCTGATGGCGACAACCGTGGACCATGACAAGTAACAGCCTCTTGTGGTCACCATCAAAAGCCTGATTGACATGATCACTATTGTACAGTTGGGAGACGGTGACAGAGGGTTGTCTCCCTATAACAGGAAGTGCCTGAACAAGCAGCTTCATGGCAAGATCAACAGGTCTTATTTTATTGAAAGCTTCAGATTTAGAGATATTAAAAACACCTTTTGGAATGATATTAACATGATAAAGCTTATAAGAGATTTTAGTGATTGGTTTTAAATCTACATCAGCATCTCAGATCATGTTGAATTGTAATAGATGGTTGATTGTGATTTGTACTGCACCTTGTACATTGTTGTTGGCTTTATATAAGGCTAAAGGCTTTATGTTGGGACTAGTTGGGGAGCTGCATGCTTGGATTGTAGTTCCCCTTGGCTGGGGGCTGAACAGAATGCCTATGCCCTGTATGTTACAAACAAACACGACATACACACCGAGACTATTACCCATTCCAACTAAGACACAGTTTGTTGAAGGAAGACTATACTTGGATGCATAGGCTGCCATTGCTTATGTTTTTTCTAAAAATGCTGTATTGTAGGCTGTCAATCCACAATGTTTAAATGACTAAGACAGTCAAATTGAAGTCAAAACTCCTTAGCTGTATATTTGGTCAGGGCCAGGACAGTACAGAAACCATTGATTCATTGTGATAGACAGGGAACTTGCATTTTCAGAATAGATCAACCATGGCTGCTCCTCTACTTCCTTAGTAAAAGTTTCCTTTATGTGGAACTGTGGACAGGCTATGGACACATTTTTATTTTCTTAAGTCGTAAATAAACTTTAATGGAAAAAATGCCCTCACTGAGCTCTGTAGTTATAGCCAGTGTGGAGCAACTCATCCATAAAGTTCAAAGAACAAGCAACAATGTTTTTCAAGTGCAGTCTCTGCACTTTTCTCTCCTCTTCCTGTCATCCTGCCCTTTGGTTACAGGCTGGCGACTGTTTCACTAGCAATCCTGCTACTGGTAATTTGTTGAAAACGCCAGCAGCAAGATTGCTAAGAGGTTGCCTGTTTGTCCCTATGGAATTGCTTGCTTTATAGATAAGGCAGCAAGATGTCGGTCACAACACTAGCGATTGAGATTCAGCTGCATGTTGGCCAACAGAAGAGCGATATACCGATGCATTTGGCTGCAGAGGAACCAATTCCATAGGGACAGGCAGACAACCTCTTTAGCGATCCGGCTGCTTGTGATTTTCTCTAGTGGCAGAATCGCCTCATCTGACTTCAGTCTTACTGCTGGGAGGGGGCGCTGAGCTACAGAGAGAAACTAACAAATGTCAGCTACTACTGAGGAATAATATCTCCTCAGTGATTGTAGCTACAGAGGTTAGTTGGTTCTTGTTTAAAGTGAAGCCCTTTTTGCAGCTTGCAGACTTCTCTCAACTGCTTAAGGGGTGAAAGTCGAGAGTCATACTAAAGGACAGACTGAGCTTTTCATTAACATACAGTGGCTCTAGTCTTTCACCCTTTGTATGGATAGACAGTTTTCAAATCTAGTTTACAACTGATAAGAGATCTGCCAGCACAGTACAGACAGGGTTAATTAGAGTAAATATAACTTTGCACAGCCTCCCCCTTAACATCACATTTATTTAAGTTATGCAATGTATGAGTAGGAACATGTAACATAGAAAAGGTGTTATTCCAATTTGGCTGGAAAAGTGTAAATTCACTTTAAACATAACACATC